TATTATTTTCCTTTGTATCCCTTTTATGGGAGTGGTCGCATGTAAGCCCAAAGGACAAGTTGGTCTTTTATTTTCTTGAATCTTTGTACCCGGCTATTAATAACCTCATTTCCTTTGTTTTGAGCTAATGAATGATTATGAAGAATTTTCCTGCACTTGTGTTTGAGAGCCTTTGAGAGTTCTTGGAGAGTTTTGGAGAGATCCCCTGGAGAGGGAGATTGGCGTATCACCCACCAACCTTGGAGACGGCCGGGTTCGTGGTTTTATCTTCTTCATTTTCTTGTCATCGCATCATCGTCGAGCTTCCAAAACCCTCCACCCATCCTCCTCCCCATCACGGCCAAAGCTACCTCACCCGATCCCCCTCCCCTTCCAAACTCCACGGCCAAGCATCCCCAATTCCCCTTGCCGCCAGCCAAGGCCATAGCCGCCGGCCACTAATCCCCTTGCCTCTTTTCTTTTGTTTCCTGATTGGGTTGGGCTTACTTGGGATCAATTTGAAATTCAAATTCATTCAAATTTGAACTCAAATTATTTCCTAAATTAGCTCTTCTATTTTAGGAAAGTATTTGATTTAGATCGAATTTTGAATTTTAAATTCAAGAGGATTTTAATTAAATATTCCCTAATTTTGAAACCTAAATCAGGAATCTTCCATTGCTCTCATCAATCAAAACCCCACCCATACCTGCCGCTGGCCCCATGTCATATCCCATTAATCCCTATTCAAGTAATTTCCTAACTTCAACACAATACTTAGGAAATAATTTGAAAGCCACGTAACTCCTCTTTACTGAATTCCCCTAACCTGGAATGGATTAATTTATTTCCTAAGTGGTAATTGCATTTTTGGAAATAAAGCAATTCTTCCATTTTCTTTTCTCTGCATTGCCGCCTCCTACACCCGTCTCCCTTTTCACCGCCTCTCATCTCCCCTGATTGCAAGGAATAAATCCTCTCTTCCAAAACCTATAAAGGAGATCTGTCTTCAGCTCTCTATTCACAATTACGGCTAGGTTCTCCTCCCCGTTTTCTACAACCCAGATATTGTTTTCCTTTTTGATCTTCTTTTGTTTTGGTTGTTGGAAGTTATCTTTTCTTAAGCTAATTGTTTTCTCTAATCCCTTTTGTTCTCTAAGTTATGTCTTAATTTTATAAAAGTAAGAGTTGTTTCTCTTGTCTGATTTCTCTTTGTGCCTTGCTCTATATTGTTTGCATCAGTATCTTATTTGCTTTGACGGAAGCCATGGACGAAGACGTTGACGGCATCGAGTGGAAGATCTCTACGTCTCTTGGCAAAGGTTTTTTTTCTCACTTGTATCTTATTTCTTTGAAATCTAAATTCTCGTTGGCTTGATTGTAATCACAAAGACTCATCCAAGTGCTCTTGCTAAGCCTAGTAAATCGTAGGTCATTGAGTGTACTTTCTTTGCATCCTAACTCTCATTGTTAGATTAGGGATTAAATTGAAGGCTACTAATTTACATTGTTTCAATTGTCTTATTTATCTTGAAAATTTCCTAGCTTGGAGCATGTGATCTAGCCTACGCAAAACATCTCTTTATTTGTTTTTAATCGACACTGCGAACTGCTAATAATTTTAATCCAAAATTATTCTAATCAAAAGTTGTGCAATGCTTAAAATGAAGCCATAAACATGTCATCTAAGTAGTCCTGCATCACTTATAGTTCTACATTGTCAATGCCAATAAATTATGTCCAAACTTGATTTCCATTACCTTTGTTATTTGATTATTACTTTCTTTTTTTCATATTAACTAGCGTATCTATTTATTCTAAACTCAATGATGCTCTTAAATGCACCAATCATTTATGCCTGGTGAATACAATACAATTTATATTGCTTGATTGTCACTAGCCCAAACTTCTTATGCATCCCCCGCCCAAGAAAATGAGCTATTATTTTATAAACCCTTCACATGCGCTGCATTTAAGAACACACACATGACATATAATCAACGAAGTTTTATTTTCACCTATACCCTCATAAGCCTCAAGTGTTCTTCAAATTGGAATTTTTTCCTGAGCATTTGCATGACATGTTTGCAGATAAGAAAGAAAAAAATGCAAGCAAAACAAACTATTAAGTATTTAGCAATTCAATGTTGAAGTCCAATTTCATCACTAGGCAAGAAATGTCATCCTGCATAAAAGAAATATGGAGTTATGGACACAAGAAATGTAATTGACGGTGGTTTGTGGATAATATTTTATTCTTTTGAACTTGGGCAATGTTGTTTGGTTGTATCCTTGTGGCCTACATTGGTTTTGAAGGATGGTAGTGTTTGTATTTAAGCGTTGTGGCTTTTAAAGTTTAACAACACTATGTTATACCAATTCCCCCCTATCCCAAGATTAGTCCTCGTGTACAATTTTTTTGGCTTCTCGTTCAGAGAGTGGACTCTATTACAAGGAATGTATTTTCTCCATCTTTTATTACCTTCAACTAGGCTATTGGGATTTGCATTTGGTATGTGGCTAATGGGACAAGTTTGGATTCGAAATTAAAAGCAAGCAAAACTTGTTCTTATCCTGTGGGATTTTAATTTAAACAAGGAATAAGCTCGATCTTGTATCAAACACATATATTAGCCTAGGAGATGAGATGTTATAAGTAGTTATTCTGAGACATTTAATTATGAACTTTTGTCTTCAATAAAATTTATCTTTCCAATTTCAATTGTAAGTACAAGCTAGATATATGATTTCTTTGAATGCAGTATTGATGTGACTATCTATTTTCATTCCGTGATTTATTTTATTTACAATTGTTTATATTGACTTGTTTGTGCTCATGATTTTGATAAAAAAATGACACGTTAAATCCAATTTTTGAAAACTAAATTAATTGCTCGTTGATTTTGGATTTCAATTATTGTGGAATTTCTTAGAATATTTCAATCGTCCCATTATCATTTTGATGCAGGCAAACTAGAAAGAAAGAGCCAATAGAGGAGAACACTAGGACAATTAGAACAAAACTCGATTCAATCTAGAAAGCTGACATCCAAACAAAACATCAAAACAACCAAAGTCGAACAAACGAAACAAAGTTTAAAAATAAAAACACCATCCTCAGAACAACCGGCAAGTGTTTCCTCACATGCAATGAAAAGTATGTAAGATAAGATAAGTGCTTAGGGCTTGCAAACCAAGGGTCCACCACAGCAACAAGGTCCAACATCCAACCAAACTCCTCCAGCAAATGTCACCAAATTCTGCCAACAAACACCTTCCAAGAGCTCAAGAGGAAGGATACAAGTGGAGTGGAACTTGCATAAAGAAGAAGAGATTAGAAGCCAAGACGAAATAGAGAGGGCGAAGAGAGAATTGGAACAAGCTCTCAAGCTTTTCCAAGGAAGAAGAAGAAACCCTCACGTTTTTAGAAACTTTTCTCAAGTTAATCAACAACCTCCTCAAAACAAATACATCTTTAATTTATAAGAGAAAAGGGGCAGCCAAACAGCCAATTTCCACCTCCAACCAAACCAACCAGATAAGAGGAAGAGGAATGCCAGCAGGCAAAACAAAATAGCACCCGAAAAGGCAACACAGGAACTGGGTAAAAGCAGCCACGGGAAAGGAGCAGGCGCCCAGGGAATAGGGACAGAGCAGGGGGATCGGAACAGCCCACAAGAAGGAGAGCCCGGAGGTAAGAACCAAAGAGACACAGGGAAAGGAAAGAGGCAAGAAACCACTCCACTTAATGAGATAATAAGTGCAATTAATCCTCCAAATAATTAGCTAAAACATTAGCTCAAGCATTAATGAGCTAGAACCAAGTAGCTTCCAAAAATTCAGCTATAAACCAAAGCAGCCAAGGCCCAACCCGAGAGCAGGAAGCAGCCCAAAGACCAACAGAGCCCAAGAAGCTAGCACACCCAAGGCTTGCTATGTCCAAGCACTACCTACACATGATCATTGGATGTTCTCTATCATTGGATATCATATAAAAAACAGCTATAATATTCAAATTACAATAAAACGAAAAAAACTAAAATATGCATGCATCACATTTGGGTTCAAATTCTAGTATTGTTTGCTTGCATTTAAAGAAAGTTGTTGAATTAACTAGTGTCTTATGAATTGTGAATTATTAATTTTGTTCGCATGTATTCATAGTTTATATCACATTAATTGCATTAAAAAAACTCTAAACTTAAACCATCCTGCATAAAATTGCTAAAGCAAAATTTCCTTATTGTTTGGTCTTGCAAAAATAGTAGACACTAATCTATTGTTTTACTTGTGCATTAGACTAACAAAATAAACACGATCATAAAGACGAAGGCAATCTCATATGTTACTCATCTTCTTATAATGATTTAACTGTCAGGACCAAGTCCTACCCTTTACAGTCATAAAATTATCAAACAAACTATAAGCAGGACAAAGTATTCTAAACAACCTGAGAAAAAACATATACAGGTTCTTAGCCGTAGATATTAAAAGATATGTGCATACACAGGCGTTTTTTAAATAAAATTAGCACAGCCAATAAATTTAGAGGAAAAGGAGAATCAAAGAGCAGATTAAGGACAAGGAACTGGAGATAATTAAAGCAAAAAAATAACACTGTTGTGCAGGGAGTAGTACAAATAAATTTGTTGGGCAAAGTAAAAAAAAACACTAGCAGAGAATTATCTAGTTCAATTAGTTAATAACTTTAGAAAGTTACAGAAAACGACTCTAACACAATAAAAAATGAAAATTCTTTAGAATAAGCGGTATTGTACATTAGGATGAAACTGATTAATTTTTTACTCATTTAAATTTGATGTATTCTAGGCTGAATCATGCTACCTTTCATAATAAAGAAAATAAAAAACATATCGTTAGAAGCTTTATATATAAATGGAAGGGCAGAACGACAAGAAGATAAAGAATGTTATAAATTTCCAAATTTTAAGAGCCAAATAAATAGATCTATTGCAGTGATACCCAGGGAAACAGCATGAATTATGTTTTCATGTCCTTACAGAGCATCGGCAGTAAACTTGCTGCAGAAGTTCTTTTCTTTATGTGGTGCTGAACAATTCCATAACGCCTTCAAACATTACGATCAATCAGAACAAGTACTACAGGCATGATCATTCAGTTAAAGATGGTAAAGTATAAATATATAAAATTTTAAGAAAAGGCATATACCCCACAAATCAAATTCATACTTTGAAAAGAAGTCCTGCGCAAGTTTGATGAGCCGAACCTCTGAATCAGGAAATATTATAAGATATGCATGAGCTGTTTTGGAAAAATCCTCGATTGAAGCCTAAATGCAGGGAATAAACAAGAAAAAATTAGATTTAGGCTCCAATAGCAAAGATCAACAAGCTTGACACGAATCTGGCCTCCCAAACAGCAAAAACAGCAAAAACAGCAAAAATGGAGAGAAAAATGCAGCAGAAATCAGCGATGAAGACTTCTATTTCAGCCCAAGAAATTGCTCTGATATCAATTTGATACAAAACACTTGAAGATTTCAAGTAAATCATATCAACCTCAGGAAAATAGCGAGAAATTTTCACTAATCCAGCAAAAAATCAGAGAAAAACATGAATTTTATTGCAAGAACACAAACTAACGGAAGAAAATAGAAAGATACAAATTGATCCTCTATTCGAGAGGAGGATCTATCTCTCCCAATTCTCTCCAAAAACCTGAGAGATCTCAAATTTCAGTTGAATTCAAGATGCCCTAACCCTAGGAAAACAAACTATTTAATGCATACAATTCAAAAGGAAATTCCTAAACAGCCCCTATTTTGAAATCTCCCTCCCAACGCCCTTCAAAAACCTTCCTAAATAGCTCCTTGAAGATTTGGACAGTCGGCTCCTGCATATAGGAGGCAGAGAATCTTCAGCCTACTTCTTGTAAGCCAGTCCCGTATGGACCGGCTGGACCGGTCCAGTGGACCGTTCTAACAGAAACTTCGAAACATCGGTCAGTACTTCCAAAGAAAATGTAACATTCTTACAAGGAGCAACGTTAAAACATCAAAACTCACGTGTAAGTGCAGTCAATTTCTTTAAGAACAACTCCTGGCCATGTATTCATATGCATGGAACATTGAAAACATTCAAATAATTGCATAAACACATCAACTAGGCGGAAGGAAAACATAAAGAGGAACATTGATCTTGCCTTAGGTAGCCCATCTGACTCTGAAAGATCAACCTCTTTAGAATGATTATGGAACTTTAAGAGACAATCCTCAAACTTTTCAAGCAACTTTGACTTCAGATTGTCAACCTGTCAAGAATTAAAGAACTTGTCAAAAGCTTTAATAAGCCAGGAAAGAATATTAAATTATGAGATTTACATAAGAATTAAATATAATTAATCAATGTCAAATTTAGAAGACCGTTCTGGGAGGAAGTTATCAACTAAGTACTCCCTAGTTTGACCTTGTTCTCAAAGAAACAAAAAAACCAATTATGAAAAAAAAGTAAAGATATGTAGGAAATATAAGAACAGCACTTTAAACGAAAACCATAGGAATGGTATACAGATAACATATGAGCTAGCTTAATCCTGATATAACTTCAAATTCCATAGGAATGAAAGCACTGCTACCCCAACAGGTCAGCAATAAGCAGACAATTGTATACTTGGAAGAACTTTTCTCAGCCAAATTCCATCAGGAATTTAAACCAAAAATAAAATAACTTCTCTGTCAATATTCTGAGCAGAATGGAAGATACTATATTTAATAATGCATCACGAAGTTTGCCATTTACTTAGAAAACATATACAGATAGCATGCCCAAGTTAATGGAGTTGACAAGTTCATTTTTAAGAGGAATACTTATGTGGATGTTTGAGGGTCTGAGCAATGTTTCTGTTGCCTCCAGTTTGACTCTGAGATCACGGGTTTAGGTCATAGAAACACTGTGTTTATAATGCATAGGTATAGCTGCTTATATCAACCTCTCCCTAGGCCCTGTATTGTGAAATTGTGAAGCTGCATGAACTAAGACCTTTTTTTAACCTATACAGATGCTAGAGATATCTCTAGTTGGTAGCCAAGAACAACTGTGAACATGCCCGAGTCCTAACCACTCAGTCATTTTATTGGTTATCAACATAATATTCACTAAACTGTACTAAGTTTTTAAGTTGCTTCAAAACAAGTCTTCAAAGATCTATCCGGGAGTCAAAGAAAACAAAAGAATAGAGTGACATATCATGCTCAATGTATTGGATCACTTGGCGGTTGGCGCTACCAAGTCTCCTATAATCTCTAACTAATGGAAATGTAGGACAGACTTTGTAGTCCATGCACCATCAAAAAGAGTCCACGGGTTTCAAGCATGACCCTACCTCAAGGTCAGAAAAACCCAATCCCCAACACAATGGGATATAATTCTAAGAAGAACAAGGCCACCAAGTCGCACCCCAACATATAGGACAAACCTAGAAATACATGGGATAGTCATCAGTTATTCCCCATACTGGCGGGCATAACAAATGATCAAACATACAATCTATAATAGATAAATTAATGAAGTCTCCCAAAATCCAGTAACAACAGACTCACACGATGCTAATGCGACCCTAGCTTTAAGATCAATGAGCACATTGTCCACAACACAGTAAATTGTAGGCATAAGAAGACATAGGTCAACACCCAAACACAAGGGATAGTCCTATTTCACATTTGACTGTCTCTACACATTTTAGGCATCACCTTGGACCTTTACAATGGACAATAGAAACATAAAAGCAAGACATTATGGCTTACAAAACACCAAAATACCTCCTTTGGGGGTGCTGAATTCTGGAACCTAGTACTTTCCAAAACCTATTTCAATGGTAGCAATCTACGAAAAAACTTAAAAAAAAAAATTATAAAAAAATGGTAGCAATCTAAGAAAACAACATTGTGAAAAACATGGAACCATATGTAACTCGAGAAGTCCTAGAATAACCTCAGGAATGGAGTTGCGTTGCTCTCAAATCCATATTTTACCGAACTTGCACTGAAAAAATCACTCCAACCACCATAAAAACCTACCAAACTATTTCAACCTCAACATAATAATGCCAAGTAGATTCATAAAAACAAATCACATTTGCATGATTATGCAGGAAGCAACATGAACTTCAATGAAGTTCACTAAGCTTGCAACATATTCCCCATCAGGATAGCATGTGAAGATCAAAGCATGCCTGATACTGACGAAACCAGTTTGTGAACTGACATTTGAACTAAGTGCACAAATAGAAGGTGTCATTTGATGCATGAGATTCTTTAAAGTGTAAGGTTCAGGAAAAAAACATGTGCAGCATGACCACCTAATTTCCCAAAAAAGCTACTTTAATAATGAACATTACACCAAAATGGACGCCTAGTGCAACTATATTGTCCATTTAGCCATTTTGAGACGATTTCAATTTCAAAAAACATTAGATCATTCTCTTCTGAAGCTATATAATTATATGGGTGCAAAGAAAATATCATAGGAGGTCCAAGTCATCCAAGCATTCACATTATTGACCATATAGCTCATAGATCACCGAAATATTAAAACAAAGCATGTATTTAACAAAGAAAAGACATAATAAAATATGAAAATAAGGGGGAAATACAAACAGAAAAACTCAGTTGTTTAAGAAGAAGAACAGCTTCTGCCCTTCTTTCAATAGGCACTGACTCGGAAGAAAGTTTTTCCTGCAAAGAATTGAAGTAAATTCTTAATCTAACAGAAATATCTCAAAGAACCACGGATGTTTTGGAAGAATGACGACAAAAGAAATATATCACGGAAAGAATAACTAAAATCATCTCATTAAACGATATTAAACATAAGTAAAGAACTTTGAATTTGACAAGCATCATTTGGGTTGGTGGTTCTTGTAAAAGAAAGGAAAAGTTAGATTATTGCTAAAACTACCAGGCAGAACAATGGCTATTTATGGATAAGTTTCTCTCGTGGAATAAGAGCAACCACTAACTCATGAAATAAGAGGAATCATGCATCCGAGGAATTGGATGTAAACTTCAAATAAAAATCACCAAGGTATTTTTAGAACATGCATTAGTTTGGCATTTGTGAAAAAAATAATAATAATAACAACCATGATAGTAAAATGGAACATGATTAACAACTAGCTTTGTAACCTAGTTACAAGCAGGGTTAGCAGCAGCGTTAACTTCAACCTAGCTATTTGAAGCTGAAATTTACTTGCTAGTATTTTTCCTTAAGGCGGATTGTAGTTAACTAAATTTTCCTAATAGTTGTATATTTTACTTGCCTCTATACTAGTGTTTTTATTTCAGTAGTTTCTCTTCTAGTTTCAACATTGTTTTTTAGTTCCAGTACCTAGTTCTTTAGCACTGTAGTTTAGAGTACTTGTTCTTTTTCTTTTCTGCACTGTAGTTTACAGTACTGATCAATTTTGTTTCTTGCTTGCAGGTATTTGGAGCTTGTACTTGCAAGAGCATACTTGGAGCATTGGAGAGCTTGCACAAGAGCTTTGGAGTTTGTTAGTGTTTTGGGTTTTGGAGAGCACTATTTGAGAGTTTTGTGTTTGAGCTTTAGGAGTTTGGGTTTAGTTGGTGTGAGTTTGTACTTAGATTTGTTTAGTGTAAACATTGCTTGTTTTCTCATTTACTTGCACTATAATTTAATTAATTAATCAAGTTTAAGAAATTTTAATTGGTTGTAAATAAATTAATTAGAATTTAAATTTATTTTAGATTGATTAATTTTTATTTTAATTAATTATCAGTTAATTAAATGAAATTTTAAATTAGTTTATTTTAAAATTGATTATTAATATTTAATTAATTAAATGGAATTTTAAATTGCTCAATTAATTAAATTTAAATTTATAAAATTGATTAATTATTTATTTAGTTAAATGAATTTAATTATAACTTCATTTTTATTAATTAAATTGCATATTTTAATTTTATTTTAAAATTGATTAATTAATTAAATGGGCTTTATGAGAATTTAATTTTTATTTAAAATTGATTGTTAATCAATTAGATGATGAAATTTAAATTTCTTTTTAAATTGATTTATTAATTACTTAATTGATTAAATGAGATTTAAAATTTATTTTAAATAATGAATTATTTTTTGGATTAATAGAATTCTCAAATTACTCTACAATAGCTCATGAAATTTAGCAACCTCCTGACGCAATTTTGACAACCTCTTGATGACCTCTCCCCGCAAGAGGAAGTAAGGACGGCACTTGTCATGGTTTCTACCCACCTGAATCAAAGATAAGACGTCGCGGGGTCTTCAAAGATCGATGGCATAGGGCCTTCAAATTGAAAATTCGTCCAGCACAGATCAAAGATCAATGGCGCAGGTCTTCGGTTAAGATTCATCTGTCCATATCAAAGATCAACGGCGCAAGCCTTGCGTTCATCTGCCTTTGTTGTTTCTGTCTCGTGGGGTCTTCAAAGATCGATGGCGTAGGGCCTTCAAATTGAAAATTCGTCCAGCACAGATCAAAGATCAATGGCGTAGGTCTTCGGTTAAGATTCATCTGCCCATATCAAAGATCAACGGCGCAAGCCTTGCGTTCATCTGCCCTTGTTGTTTCTGTCTATTTTATTGTGCAGGAATTGTATTTCCCTTAAAACAGTCGATTATGTAGATTGCAGTAAATTATATTGCAGACTAATGCGTTAGTTAAGGTACAAATAAGTTTGATTTCAAACACAGGTTTGCTCCCAAACTCAAACCTAGGATACGGCAGGCTCGGGAGTATGGAGGAGGATGTAACTTCATGTGGTGGCTCTCGCATGAGGTCGCACATGAAAGTGCTTGGATTCAGGATCCGGCGGTAGTGGGTTCGGCTCGTTCGAATGGGTAGAGTGGCGCGGGAGTCTGGGTTTGGTCCCATGTGAGGCGTTAGCACTGTTGGAAAGGATATGCGGGTTCAGCAATTGAAATGGAGGAGGCGTTTGGTCAGTCTGTGGATTGGATTTGATTGGAGCGGATGAGTGGTTTGGAGTTCGATCCACGAGCGTGAGGAAGACAAGTGCCTAGGAGCTTCTACAGAGATCGAGGGAGATTGGAATAGAACCAGAATTGGAGAGCAGAACGTTTTCTTCTGCGTGCGTGAGGGTTCAAATGAGAAGGAAGGAGCAGGTTGGGGACGTTTTGTGTTGTGAGGGAAGTTACATGAACAAACCATTGCATCTTTAGGAATAAACCGTGCGTGGGGCCAACTCGAAGGCAGGTGCATTGCTTCGTAAAGTTGTTTGAATTTTTTTATTTTTTTTAGTCAACAGAAGCTATTATGGAGAAGATTCAACCCCAGAGAAGAATCAAATTTGCTACGAAGAGATATTTGCACGTGGAAAAACTCAATGCAAATCGAGCCCTTCTATCATTGGCTGTGAATCTGCCTTCTTCTAGTTGCTTGTAAAAATTTGTATTCTTAAATGGATACCTAAAGGAAAAAGTCTACATGATGCCACCTCTTGAATTTGAAAACCTAATAACAAGTAATCAAATGTGAAAATTAAAGAGATCTATTTATGGACACAAACAATCTACTAGAGCTTTGTTCAAGAGATCCACATGAGAGGCTCCAAAGCTATTTCTCTTTAAAAATAATTAAAAAAAAAAAAGTCAATCATGATCTTTTATGAAAAAGTCCAATTAAGGTAAGGCCTCATTTTTAATTGATTATGTTAACAAAACAGTTGCAGAAAAAAAATTTTAAAAAAAATGACTGGCCTCTAAACAATTCTTAGGGAAAGAATTTAAAATCAAAGATTTAAGAAATCTTCGATATTTGCTAAAATTAAGGTTATTAGATCAAAAGGAGAAATCAATCTCCCAAATAAAAAATGTCCTACCCCTCATAAAAGAAAATGGAATGCTGGGTTGGAAACCAGCAAAACACACCTGTATATACTAAATCAAAACTTAAAAGGATGAAAAAGAGACCATCTGATGATATCAAAGACTTGTTGGAAAAATTATACATCTTTCACATATCAAGAAAGAGATTGAATTTCATATTAATGTTGTAAGCAAATTTATGAATGATCCAAGGAAGAAGCAAATGGAGGTTGTCAACCAAATTTTGACGTATTTGAAGTTAACTCCAGGAGTAGTATTTTTCTTCAAATAAAACTAAGATCGAGAAGTAGAAATCTATTGTGAAGCATCTTAGATTGGCTCTATCAATGATAAGAAGTCCACATCCAAATATTTCTTCTTCATGCGAGGTAATCTAGTTACCTTCAGAAGCAAGAGATAGTTTGTAGTAAAGCAAAAGCTGAATTTTGCGCAATAGCTCATGTTATATATGAAAGAGTTTGGATCAAAAAACTTTGAATAACCTGGGCAAAATCAAAGGGAGAAGGCATGTTTTTGTAATAATCACTATATTATATGTATTGCTAAAAAAATTTTACATCATATTAGAACCAAAAACATTGAAATTGATTGTCATATTATTAAGGAAATAATTGATAATAATTTCATCAAATTATTCTATGCTCCAACAAACTCTAAAGTTGTTGTAATATTAATTAAAGCGCCATCATAAACAAACCTTGAGGACCTATTTTCCAAGTCTATTCAGAACAAATGTTGTAATGACTAAATTTTTAATATAATTTAAAATAATTATAATTAAAAAAATTTATTATAACTAAATAATTTAAAAGAAATATCATCAACTAAATCGTACATTTTTTAAAGGATTCCAACATATTCCTATATATTATCTGTTAAAAGGGGGCACAAAACCCACTACATAGAGAGAAATCGAAGGGACAAACCTTTTGGTACATGAGACACTAGACTCCAAGATTTTTTGTTTAAGAAATAGTAATTTAGTGGAGTGAGTGCTTGAACCCATGACCTCTTGGATAGAAATAGAGGTACAAAGCACCAGGCCAAGGCCTGGTTAAAAATTGTACTTCAGACAACACGTATTCCTACAGTTGTCATATAAATTATCAAGCGAGAGCCGATTCTTACCCTTGCTTAAGAGAGTCAGGGAGATGAAAGAGGAGTGCAAAAGTGAGACAGAGAGTTGAGGGAAGAAGCTAGGCAAAGGAGGGAGCCACACAAGCAAAATTGTTAGTGTGCAAACAAGGGAGCATGAGGTCAATAGAGTGTGAAGCAGTGGAGGCAAATGGGGGTGAGCAGATAGGATGCCAAAAAGCTAGGAATTTTCTACTTTTCTTCCTTAAGCTAAAAGGAAAGCTCCATTTCTCGCTATATGTTTCCTAAAAATAATTTAGGACTTGAGAAAAATCTCGTGGTTTCTATAAGAGGAAGAAGAAGAAGAAAAAAAGATGAAGAAGATGAATCTAGGTATAAAATTCGATATATATATATATTATGTGTGTGTTTATTTATCTATCTATAAATTAGAAAATTTTAGAAAATATCTTGAAGAAATATGAAAAATACGATTTTATTTTGAGATGGTATGTGGTTTCCTAGGTATTAGATTTAATGAAAAAATTTTGGATTATATCCTAAAAGGAATAATAGAAATATAAAATTAACTTTTATGCGTGCTGGTTAAAAAATTCTAATTATAAAATTAAAAGAAACGAAACATTGAATATATAAAGAGATATATATATTTATTTATTTTATACATACATATAGAAATTAATTTAATTAAATTTTTTGTATAAAATGAAGTGTGGAAAAACTGTTGGAGATCCATAGTTTTGCCAAATGGAATCCATGTAGATGTTAACAGGATATGACAAGTAATCATGGAGATCCAGAAGAAAAGTCACAAGGCAAATTTGCTCTTATTGCCACTTTATGATTTGTGGTGATGCCAATCGGATTTAATGAATAAAATTTTTAAACCATTTTTAGACATATTTGTGATAATATTCCTTGATGAAAACTTTGTCTATTAAGGAAATGATGCTAGTCATACAAATCACCATCATGCAATTTTACAAACACATAAGGGACATGAATTCTATGCAAAGTTTTAAATGTAACTTTTGACTGAAAACTGTTAAATTTCTTGGACAGGCGATCAATGGTGAAGGTATTATAGTAGACGACAGCAGTAACTGATTGGATGAGACCTATCACAATAATAGAAGTAATGAGTTTTCAAGGACTAGTCCGATACTACAAAAGATTTGTCGGAGAATTTTCTCAAATTGCGGTCATTATCCGTATTAACATAAAAAGCAATGAAATTTAAATGGGATGATCATTGAGAAGAAACTTTTCAGAAATAGAAAGCCTGCTTAATGACTGCAATTGTACTGATAATTTTGTCATGTACGAAAAGGTTTTCAATATATATAATAATGCATTCTTAAGAGGATTATGATGTGCTTTAATACAAGATGGAACAATAGTTACAATTCTGAAAAACTAAAAAATCATGAAAGAAATTATCCTACAAATGATCTGGAGCTAGCAATGTTATGTTTACACTAAATATATGGAAATATTATTTATATGGAGTTAGGTAAAAAGTATGATTGATTGAATTTAAAACAAAGGGTGTTGTTAGAATCAACAAATATTATGATTTGAACGTACAATATCATCCAGAGAAGGGAAATGTTGTTGCTAATGCTTTAAGCAAAAAAGATCCGGCAATACAAACCAGTTGATTGCTCAACAAGAATATAGACAATTTTGCTAATGAAAGTTCTGATATATTAAACTAGATGATAATACATTCAATTTTGAAAGATAGAATATGTGATACAATACTGCAGGATATTAATTTTCAGAAAAATCTAAATCTGGTTAAAGTGGATCATATAGAGAAATATAGTATTGATGAGGAAGAATTATTGAGATATAGAGGTTGAGTTTACATTCCAACAAATGTTCATGATTTAAGGAAAAAAATGTATAAGTATATCACACATGCTATTCCATGCCTTTAGAAAGTAACAAAATGTACCAAGAATTCGAAAGATTATTTTGGCAATCAAGGATGCAAAGAACTGTAGTAGAAACTATTGCTAAATGTCTCGCTTGTCAAATGGCTAAAACTGAAAATCAAAAGCCAAAATAATTGTTGCTAGGATACCAAGATCGACAGAAGGTCACGATACCATATAGCTTATCACCAATAGATTGACTAAGTCTGCATATTTAATGCCAGTCTATCAAACTAATTCTGTGGGGAAATGACAATGTCAAATGTAAATGAAATCATAAGATTACAGGATATACCTATAATACCCTTTAAAGGTCAAATTAGAGACAAGTTAAAAGCAGCTCAGGATCGACCGTAGAAATACTATGACTCCAAGCATAAAATGATAGAATTTAAAGTGAATGAATTTGTTTTCTTAAAAGTTAGAACAATGACGAGCATTTTTAGAATTGGCCAAAGAGGAAAGCTGAATCCAAGATACATTGGCCCATTTGAGATCATTAAAAGAGTGGAAAAGGTTGCTAACAAATCAGCACTACCTGCAAACATATCTCATGTATACAATGTTTTTAATATTTGATGTATAAATTGTTTTTTTATATACCAATGCTCAGAAAATGGTTATTGATGAAATCTAGAGAATCTCACAAGATGAAATTGAGATACAGAATAATTTGATATATATAGAGTAGCCTGAAAAATTTTTAGAAAGTTATATTCGTAAGTTAAGAAATAGAATAATTCCTTCTGTAAAAGTGACATAGAAGCACACATCAATAAAGGAGGCTAAATGGGAAAAAGTGAATGAGATGAGGCAGAAGTTTCCTCACCTTTTTGAGAAAGTATGAAAAGATGAATTTCGGAGACAAATTTCTAATAAGAGGGGGAAAATAATTTGCCTTGTAATTTTGGTGAGCTGCTGAATTCTCTTCTAAAATCAGCTCATTAATGTGTATTTAAGGCCAAATTAGATTCATTCCCCCCTCCTCTCTATTGACCTTTTGGTTTCCCCCTTGGCTCCCCTTCCCGAGGCTGGCCCTTCTCCCCTGGTTTGCCTGTTCCGGTTCCCTATGGTGCCTGTTCCTTCCCCTTTGGCTGTCTGTTCCGTTCCCTTTGGCTGCCTGTTCCGTTCCCTTTGCCTGCCTATTCCGACTTCCCCCTTGTGGCTGCCTGTTCCAGTCCCCTATGTTGCCCGCTCTTATCTTCCCGTGGCTGCCTTTCGGATTTCCTGTGTGGCTCTTTAGGTGTTGTTTCTGGACAGCCCCTTGACTTTCCATTTTCACTATTTTAATTGGTTTAAATGGGGATATTTTGGGCTTTTTGGCTGCCCCATTTTCCTAAATATGTGATGTTTTGTATGCATAAAGAGAGTTTATGAAGTAATTTTTAGAAGCCAAAACCTGCGGGTTTTCTTGGAAAAGCTTGCGAGCTTGTTCCATCCCTTCTCCTTCTTCTAAGATAGCTTGCGAGCTATGCCTCTCTTTCGTCTCGGCTTCTTGCCTCTTTCTTCTCTCCACAAGTTCAACACCACCTGTAATCTTTCTTCTCGACGAATGAAAGCAACTTTAGGTGTTTTATATTTATGTTGCAAGCGTCATTTTACGTTAAAAAGTTGTATTTTTATTTTGTGTTTCTTTTTTGTAACCAAGGGTCTCTTACTTGTTTTGGAAGCTTTTGGTTACATCAATAACCAAAAAGAATATTAAGATATGATGTGCAATAATTACAAAATAAAGAGATTTCTTTCGTACTAGTTTAATGAAAGTATGAGAAGTCTCTTTCGGAAATCGATCTTGTAAACGCTGGTTTTTCTTGAAGTGCCTTTTTGTACGTAGGTACATCCATGATTGAAGTTTATATAGTTCATACTCCAGAGGATTTGTTGACTTTGATGGAATCCACCTATCCATAGGATCTTCAATTTCATCTGGCTTGCTTTCTTCTGTCTTTTTGTCTTTTTTTCATTTTTTTGACGACTTAAACAAAACTCAAAGAAAGACTCAAAAGACTCAATCTAAAAAAAACTTAGACTCACAATAAGACTCACGACAAGACTTACAAGACTCACAAGTTGACTTGACTTGACAAAACAAAACTTGACAACCAAATCTAAAACCTAGGACTTCCTAACTTGCTCTGATACCTAATGATGCGGGCAAAAAATCCGGGGGATGGGGCACCCGACTACCCGAGGACCTCTGCCTACAAAGGGAAACGAAGGACAAGAAAAACTCCTACGAACGAAGATAAGACGAACAAACTCTTACATTTCAAATCTAAGACCGACTTAGAAATTAAAAAAACTAAATAACAACAACAAATTGAAATTAAAAAGACTTACAAACTCGACTCGAAATTAAAAACACCCTAAACTTGCTTCACTTAGAGAAGAATGATACAGGTGGGGTGTAAACTTGCGGAGAGACGAAAGAGATTAGAAGCCCGAGAAGAATGGTGGAAAGAGCTCGCAAGATTTTCGGAGGGGATGAGAAAAGAAGACGGACAAAGCTCGCAAGCTTTTCCAAGAAACCCGCAGGTTTACTTTTCAAAAAAAAACATATCATTCACCACTTAAAACATTACAATCCATCCCATATATATAGGTATGAGAAGGGAATACAAAAAGACATGGCATTGAATTCACACACGAATCCAAGCAACATAAGCATGGAAATCCCCCCATGCATTCACAGAAAACAGCCCAAGCCCAGGAACTGAAGGAACCACCACGGGAGCCAAAGAGGCCGCACGGAACCAAGGCGCCAAAGCCACGGGAAACCCCCCAGGCTCGAAAAACCAGCAGCCGACCGGAAATCCAAGGAGCCATGGCATGGAAAACAGTAGCCTACCGTGGAAGCCAAGGAGCCACGGCATGGGAAAACAAAACAACTTTCTTGGGATTCCAAAAGCCCTTTTGGAACCCAAGAGACAACTTAAATTAAGACATTAAAAACTATAAAAATTACATTTAATAAAAAGATAACTATGAACTAAAATGTTAGCTAATAATGAGCTAACCCTTAGTTCAATAAGTGAACTAAAGACCAGCTCATAAATGAGCTAAAATTTCAGCTCAATATTGATTGATCTTGTAAACTCGAGGGAAGCCAAAATTGATTAATTTTGGACATGAGTTGACCCCCTTTTGTCTACATCAATTATCGGATGTGAATAGTGCCATGAATATTTGCATGTGGCCAATTTAACCCAGAGCATTGCATTTCTTCAATTTATTCCCATGACTATACAAAGATGATCCAAATAGATCCTTCCCGCAGAAACTATGATACAATATTGATCCTAATTCAGTCCGTCAACAATAAAAAACCAATCCCAATTTAGTATATAAAGTATCATTTTTTATCAGTTTGGTATTGTCGAGAATCTAAACTGGAAAGATGTGATACTCTATGATTAAATTGGCCGCATGCAAATAATGGGGGACAATTTTTTGACATTTAACCCAAATTCCACTATACCGATTAAAATAGTCATTATTCATTTTATCAATGAGCCAAATGTATTTGGTATGGCTTCTTATTAATAGCCAAAAAAATTTACTGGTTTTTCTTTCTTAAAAAGGTCCAACACAAAGCTTGGTTATGAAATATAAATTTAATGATGCAAGATAATACAAATCCACAGAGCTCTAGTTGAAACTAGCAGCTGACTATCAGAAAATGTGAAATGGTTAAAAGAACTCTGCACTTGGTTCAAAGGCTCAAATCAAAGTTAAAACCAAATTTTGAAGGCTACCTGAAGATTCTGAATAACTATGTCCATTGCCTGTTCAGACGCCCTCTTGCAGTCTTGAAAGGACGAATCACCATATGCCTGTAGAAAGTGGAGAAAGATGACAACGACAATAAGATAAATATGAAAATAGATCATACAAGAAGATAAAACAAGCCTTAGGAGCTCTGTAATTGAAGGAAATTTTAAAAGATAAAATAAAAAAATAAACCTCAAAAATTGGCTTGGCTCCAGTAAAAAAGCGCACTGCATCTGCATAAGCTTCTGCTTTTATGCACCGCCCAAGTTGAGCAGGAAGATCATATATGAACTGCATTTTGTAAAGTTAAGATATAAGAACTGCTTTTAAGCACCTCCAATGCATACTAAAACAAACAAGCTAATAAATTCCTATTTCATATTTATTACCAAATGTTAGAGCTTTAAGAAAATCTCCTACAGTTTGTTTAGCTGACTAACGTTTATTCCACGAATGGTCTTGAGAACTGCTTTAACGCACTCCCAATGCATATTAAACAAAAAGCTAATAAATTCCAATTTCATATTAATTACATAATGTTGGAGCTTTAAGAAAATCTCCTGCAGTTTGTTTGCTAACTAATGTTTATTCCCTGAATGATCTTTGGGTTTTAATAAAGAATAAAAAAAACTATTTGGAGATCAATGGTTCTTCAAGCAGGGCCCAAAGTGGGCTTTTAGAATATTCATCTTCAGAGAATATTCAAATACATCAGGCACTTCAAGTTTCAACCACCCTTCACATTTCAGATGGTTCAAAAACTTGCTAATTCATACAGTAGGCTCTCCCAGTAGTGGGCTTGGATATTTTAGAAAGCCAAGTTCATAGGTATACGAAAGGAGAGTGCACCAAAAGAGCCTAGTTAAACCCAAATTAGGTTAAACCAATAAAGATAGAAAGTTTTGCAAAATCCAACTTGGATAGACCAAGCTACAGATCAAACAGACTAAGGTGGACCTTTGATAAATAAATAAAAATAAAAATAAAAAATTCGATGAACCAACTTAATGTGGCCAGATTAAGTGGTACAAAATTATCATAGTTATTTTTATTGATTTGCATGTAGGCACAACATACAACACCAAAGCCATAAAGAAGACCTAAAATCTCAACTTCTCTCTCGTCCTTCCATGTGCTCTCTCGTCCTTCCATGTGATCAGCCATGTAACTAAAAAAATAATACCTTCACTAATATCATATAGGGTGGCCAATCAAACCATTCAAAGGAATTAAAATAATAATACTTATGTTTATTTAAGGAGTTACTTGTCAAGAGAGGAGGATATTTAGGAAAAATTGCTTATTTGTTTGAGAAATTCTAGCGTACATGAAACAAATGAATGCCCACCAACCAGGTGTGACACAAGTTTAGAATTTAAATTTTAAAATTAGATTTTTTATATTCAAACATGATTTGCTTAAAATTTACAATAGACATTGATTCACACGTGATTGCCATTAGCAAAAGAATTGAACTCCTGACTATAAATTTCTCTCTCGCATTTAATTATTAAATAATTTCCTGAAGCATCATTTTAATTTTACTGCAGATATATTAATCTACTATGGCAATCTGAAAATTTTTCCTAAATTCCAGCAACTGGCATTAGCGGTAGTATTAAATTGAATTAGAAACTTAATTGTTAGGTACTTATAATTATTACCTAATAACTTAAGCTTTACTAATAATTAACCTAAACTTATTCCATGTTATCCTCCCCCAACCATACTTATTCTTATCCCTTCTTAACCCGTCTTAACCGCCACCTGGAGGCAAAAATAAAAATTGGAAATAAAAAAGAGGGTAGAAGGAGACTTGGTGCTGGAAACAGAGGGAAAAGGAAAAGAAACAAAAAGGAAATAGAGGGGATGAAGAAGAGAAGAGAAGAAGGTGAAAGAAAGAGAAGAGAAGAGAAGAGAAGAGAAAGAAAGTGAATGAAAGAGAAGAAAGGAGGATGAATGAAGAAGAAAAAGAGGAGAAAAAGAAGAGAGAGCAGAACAAGGCAAAAGTGGGAGGAAGAAAGGGGAAGAGGAGAAATCAAGACTTTCTAATTTAATATTTTCTTTCACAAATTAAATTTAAATTTGAGTCATAGGATTGAAGGCTTGAATGAGGAGATATTAATTTAAGAAAAACATTTTTTATGATAATTAATTTAATGTCGATGAGGTCAATAAAAAATTTATCTTAATTTAATAACAACAACATCATCAGGCCTTAGTCCCACTACATTAGGTCGGTTACATGAATCCTTTTTTTTTCCATTGTGTCCAATTAAAAGTCAAATTCTCGTTTAAATCTAATACATAAATATCATTTCTAATATTTTCTAACCAAGTCTTTTTAAGTCTACATCTACCTTTCTTAATATAAGTCAAATCTAATACCTCTACTTTCCTAATTGGGTCATCAGAAGGCCGTCGTTTTATGTGACCAAACCATCTAAGGAGTCTCTCATTCTTATCTTCCACTGGAGCTACTCCAACCTTTTCACCTACATGCTCATTTCGTATCTTGTCTCTAAGGGTAAAGCCACTCATCCACCTGAGAATTCTCATGTCTACAACACTTAACTTAGAATTATGCTTCTCTTTTAATCGCCAACATTCTACACCATAAAGCATTACAGGTCTCACCACCATCTTATAGAATTTTCCCTTAAGTTTGAGGGGCACTAAACAAACGAACATGAACCAAACATGAACCAAACATGAACACCCTTAAATTAAACGAACCAAACATGAACACAAATATAAAGCTCGAATCAAACACGAACCAAACATGAACAAGCTAATGTTAAACAAACACAAACATGAACACTCACATACTCGGCTCGGCTTGGTTCGTTTGCAGCCCTAGTCCAAAGTCAGAATCCTCCCACTAGGTCTATTACTACTAAAATTACACTCCATATATTAAATTTTAAATCTACTCGAACGAAAACCTTTAGACTCTAAGGTTGACCTACATAAATCAAGTTTACATTCAACTCTTATCAACAAGAAGAATATCATCAGCAAAAGCATACACCAAGGTACATCCTCTTACAAATGTCTAGTGAGAACATCAATAACTAAAGCAAAAAAATATGAGCTTAAGGCTGATCCTCGATGTAATCCAACCGAAATAGGAAAATACTTGGTCAAACCACCTTTTATTTGAACACAAGTAATAGCTCTTGCATACATATCTTTTAAGGGTTTGAATACAAGTGCTATTAACTCATTTCTTTTCAAGAACTCTCTGGTAGGAAATACTTGATTTCAAGTAGTTCCTAGCCAAAACTGAAGCAGAACAAGGAGAAAACTGCTGTCTCCAACAGTGGACAGCAACTATGCGCAGGAAAAATAGTGAAAATTGCGAGAAAATTGAGAGACAACACAAGCAAAGGCTTGTATTTTTACTAGTAGACGAAACAAATAGCAAAGATACAATTTGTTCTTCAATTCGAGAGAAAGAACTTACTCTCCAAAGTCTCCGGCGAAGCCAAGAGCCCAAAGCAAACCCTAGATCTCAAAGAGAAAACTCAAATTCAAGATAAGATGCAAATTCCCCCCCAAACTCCTAATTATACAAAATTAATCATAAAGGACAATAATAAACTTCCTAAAACAGCCCTCACATTCAAAATTTCCCTCCTAAACCTCCTCCCAAGAGCCCACGTGGACCTCACGCTCCGCCCGCCCCCTGTTTTCTCCGCCTGGAGTAACAGTGGACCGGTCCGGGTTGGACCGGTCCAGCCGGCCCCTCCTGGGCCGGCGTAACA